TGTGTATGTGTGTGTGTGTGTGTGTGTGTGTGTGTGTGTGGTAGTCTGTGTGGACATTCAAATTTTATTATTCATTAAACTCTTCCAAAAGCAAATCCTTCACTGGTGACATCTTGGTGTTGAATCTAAACTTGATTTACCTTTAATCTACATTCCTGTCTAAAACGTTTGCTAAGTATTCAATTGCCATTACCTTAACAAAAAAATCGGAAGGATTGCTTTGTTTGCTTCGATCCATATAGATAATGAGCACAGGTGAACTAACTAGTTGTATGTGCCATACTCCAGAAATTGTGAATCAGGTTTTCTAACAATTAGAGCATTTTTCATCATCATTACATGGTTATATGAAAATGATCATAGCTTTTACTTGGATTTCTAAGAGTCTACATAGATATGGATAGAGTAGATATGAACTGTTAATATATAATTTTTAACGTTAGAGTGCGAGTTTGAAACAAAATTTACGAACCGGGATTCGAACCCGGGACGTTCTGCGATCTATGCAGACGCCTTAACCAACTTGGGCATTGGGGCTACGTTGGGAATTCAAATCTGGTTATAAGCAACTGAATTTTCAAACGCTTACACATGCGTGGAACAACGCTAGTGTAAATTTATGTAACATAGTTTTTACTATTGCGGTCTGCTTGGGTATAATTACCGTATAGGATGTCATTACTCTAGGCCTATTATTTTGTTTATAATATTCTCTGACCATATAGGGGTTGTGACCACAAAGCCAGTCAGTTTCAATGTTAGTGACTGACATTCATGTAACTAAAGTATGCATTTCTGCATGTATGTTTATGTATGTGTTTGGTATGTGTCTGTATACTGTAGTGCGTATGAGTGTTAGTATTTCTTTAGAAAGACGGGCATGTCCTCCGTATTGTTGATCTCTCGGTGATATTTCTTAAATGATATCGCTATTGCAACCAGTGCTATCACAGAAAAGAGACTAAGAGAGATGATAACTAGGATCATCAAGTTGTTGTCAGTCTCAGGAGTCCTTAAATTCTCTCTAGAATAGTAAACATCGGCTGTTGCTACATCTAAAAAACAAAAATATATTTAATACTGTAATCAGTGGCGTATCTGGGGGTGTGCGGGGGGGGGAGAGAAGGCACGCTCCTCCAAAAATTACTCGTGCCCCCCCCCCCCGACACGTCGCCCCAAAAAATCACTTGCAAGTAATTAAAATTTCCTAAAGTCAACTTATTTTCCCCTCAACTGATCATCGAGCCCCCACTTCACCTTCGCGCCCTCCCATCAGCACCCCCATTTCAAGACCTCTAGATAGGCCACTGACAGTAATTACAGTTACAGTATCTACCTTGATATGAAGTTAAGGCCTATCTTACTATGTTTTAACATGACTTTATTTTTCATTTTTATAAATGATTCCACATTATTTATTTGCGGGAAGACCAGGGAACAGTGGAATTAAGTTTAATAACTGTTACCTGGGAAGACCACCAACTATGGTAAAAATATAACGAGATAAATGCAAAACAGTATTAAAGTATAAGATATAACAATACAATAGGATAAATGTTGATATGTAGCCTAGTAATGATGGTTGAATAGATTCGTAATTTATGAATTATGATGAAAATATTACATGACAACAATATATTGTAATTGTACTTCATCTTAATAAATAACCGATGGGTCTAATAAGAGAAAAACGAAAATTCCAATACGCCTATATATAAGAGTAATAACAATTTTGAACAATATAAAAATTCAAGCATTAAAAAAAACAAAAGACTAAAAAAGAAGACACGGTCTAACTTTGGTTGTTACATAAATAGACAAAAGTAACTGGCAGAGCATAACTATAATAAATGTATAAATGGATATTATTATTAGATTGAAGCATTCCTTATTATTATACGTCCATAATAAAGAACAATTTAGATTTTTATATATTTACATAAATATATTAATGATATTATTTGCAAACTCGCGTCTAAGAATACATAGGATTAAGTTAGTTAAGCGATGCCTTACCGTTAACTTCTCTCCTTTTCCTGCCTACAAGGGACCCTATAAAATAATTATTTTGGTTAGTCAATCAACGTTGTATTAAACGATTATAAGACATTTAAGGCAAGATCAGATGTAAATTTGTTAAAACTTTTTAAGCGAATGAGAATGTCCGAATACAGGTATAGCAGAACTAAAAGAAAAATACAGCTGATTATGCAGCATATGAAGAAAGACTTGATATTTTTCCAAATTAAAAACCGATTTGTAGACGCTATTAGCATCCATTACTATACATTACTATTCATTACTTTGACAGCTTGCACGAAAAGTCACTGGACTTTACTTTGACACGAAGAAACGAAATTAACAGGCCTATTTACACGTAAGAATTTTCTGTATTTACTGTAATTCTATCTTTTTTAAGGAATACATTCAATTTTTAACTTTATAAAGTTTATTAATCTTAATTGAATGTATGATTTAGTATATTACATACCCAAGTATTGACATGTATGTATTATATTTTCTTATCTGAGATTAATCAGTGGCCCTTTCGGGTTTTTTTAATGTATGATTTACGTAGTTGTATTTTATTATTTACAACAACTCACTTTGATTTTGTTAATGACTATATTTAATTCTATCTTTTTTTAAGGAAATTTTATATGTACTTTTCAATGTGAATTTATAAAGATTATTAGGTTTAATGTGTGTGTGACTTACGTAATTTTAATTTGCTTTTCTAAACTTTACGCCTGCAAATTCATTTTGATTTTACTGACTTTTAAATAGGCCTATATCTAATTTTTAGTAACCCTTTGGCGGCATTTGTTTTTGCTCTTAATTTTCTCATGAAATTCTGAGACTGAAGTAATGAAGAAATTGATTCATTCCTTGATTTCTTACCTACAAAATTAGAACACGTATTGCCACCAAAGGGCTGAAGACAATCACACTGAAAGTAGGTGGTGGTAGATGAACACATTCCTCCATTCAGGCACGGAGAACTGTTACACGGATCCGAATCTAAGATACAGAAAAAATAGGCTCCCAGCGTGAGCGTGTGTCTATGCCCTATACTGCTTTATTGTATTATGTTTACTAATAAACTATCCACATGGGATACGGATATCAACAAATGTGTGGTGTATTTTTTTGTTGGACTTTTGTACAGTAATAAGGTACTTAAGATGACACATGACCCATCATGCTCCTCCAATGGATTTCTCCTTTCCGCCATTTTTACTTGCCAGATCATAACTTAGTGTCTTTTCCCCCGAGCGGGCATAGATACAAACAGTTATTGTGACTTGACGTCATTGATGATTCGATTAACGTCATTGATGATTCGATTAGTTACACATGCATAGTTGGAAGGCACTAGTCCTAAAATATATACCACAATGAAATGAATTCAAATCAATCTAATCTTCATATATGATGATTGTTTTATTGGGTTAATGATAAAAAAATAAAAAATATACATATATATAATATATAACTATATAAGTTTTACTTTACACAAAGCGTGTCATGATTCTCCATTTTATAATTCATATCATTATTTTTTTTCTTCACAATCGCATGTCAAACCTATCTATGAACCTCAAGATCCCCCTGATTATTTGAAACGTTGAAGTCTTCTGTGCAATCATTTAATGTATTTTTAAATAATTTCTGAATTACAATGTATGCAATATCTTTGTCATTTAATTTTTTAATTATGGAGTAATTTTGTTTTGAAATTTTTAAATTGCATTCATCCTGTTTAACTTTTTTGTGCAATATTTTGATGTTCTGGTTTATTTTAATTCGATTTTTGTAAAATTTTTTGTTATTACTCTTCTGAGTGTCTTTTTTTTTTCTTTTTTTTTTTCCTTTTCTTTTATTAGCCTTTGTAAATAAACATTTAAATTAACAAATAATTAATAAATTTTAATGTACATTATACAATTCTATCTCTTTGTAAATAAATTAAAAATTAATGATAATTAATAATTTAAGCTATATTTTGTAGTGTATGTTTAAGTTTGTATATTTACTATTTTACTATTTTAATGTTCTGTATTTTCGCCTGTTCCCTTGTATATTTTGTGTGGTTCTGTAATCTGTTTAAGGGGGGATGTAGATAGATGTGCTTGACACCTGTTCATCCCCTCCTTTTCGCTGCATTTTGTCTTGTTTTTGAATTGTTCTTGTATTTTTGCAGTGATGAAGTGTAATAAATAAATCAAGATTATTCTATATTAACGAGAATAATATAGAGTATTCGCTCGGTCCTGTAGGAAAACAGTCTTTAAACGGAATAGTCCTTCAATACAATAAGAAATAAATGAAGAATACATAAATAAATATTACTGAATAATTGGTGGCTGGGGGAATATTATTTTAAAAGATTTAAAGCACAGTCCCAGAACATAAACGGTTTTATAATTAGCTAAATACAATACTATTCCATTAAATTATGATTATGTATGAAGATACATTGCAATTAAGATAAAGTGCACACGCATATTAATCGGAAAGTGCACAAAGCCTGGTTTCCATAAAATCGCTACATTATCGCTACAATGTTTCCAGTGCAGTCGTTGTACTTTACTGCGTAGCAGTCCCCTACCCAATCAGGAAGGCTCCCGGGCCCAATTCAACCGACCATTCAGTACTGTATCACCGAAAGCTGTCGGCAATAGTATGTAGCGAGTGTATGGAAACCAAGCTTTACATGAACGATGACGATGATGATGATGATCATCATCATCATGGTTATCGCGAGAATGATGATAGTCCAAATAACAATAATTATTATTATGTTATGATATTATATATATAATAATAACAACAACAACAGCAGCAGCAGCAACAACATCAATAATAATTTCATTTTGCGACGGACTTACATGGAGTTTCACATTGTTGACCAATGAAGCCAACAGGACATTTGCAGAAATAATGCATGTTTGCAGGAAGATCTGTTTGGAATAGATTGTGACATACGCCACCATTCTGACACATACGTACTTCGCTGCAGACGTCCTCCGTCGGGTTATTGACTATAAGTAAAATAGAAAACAAAACACAGTATTGTTAATTTCATTTAAAGACACCATTAGCAACCTCTGCGTTTTCTAGTTCAAGTGCGGTAACAGTACACTGTCGAATTGAAAATAATTACATTATAGTATCATAATGTAATACTAGGCCTATATATTTTTTGGCTAGACAGTGTACTATTAAGTGCAATAATAGTACAACGTCGAATTGAAAATATGTATTATATTATGGTTCCATAGAGGGACTAATTGATTCCCAATTTAATTATTTATTATTGACACATCCACAAATTATATTAACATCATAATTTTTAACTAGGGGATCTCATTTATATGATACTAGAAACAAAAGATAGAAGTCTCCACAGATAAAAACTGTATCACCGAGTTTCATGATGGGTATACTGTACTAACGTAAGTGTGTTTATCATTTCATGGGGCGCCGTGTACGTTCGGATCTCAACAAACGTAAATTGTTGGAAAGAGAAAGGCAATATACACGTATTATGTATTATATACACGTTGGCATCTGCGTAAAAAATATGACGTATACCCGTTTCAATTTTCTAAGCGAGAGTTCTATCATGTGTTTCTAGTATCTTTGATAAAACCATGTAAAATTATGTAATATACACACGTGTTGATGAAGCACAGTTGATCCCAGTGTAGCCTTGCGGACAGATACAGGCATACTGCTTCTGATAGAACTCCGAGTTACCCATACTGCTTAGATAGCTGTTCCGGCAAGTTGCTCCATTTTCACACGGGTTGCTAGAACAAGCGTCATTTGTTATCGGATTGGTGGCTAGATGGATATAGAAAAAGGGAAAATATTCAATGAAAATATTTAGCGGTTTGACTGGCCATTACCTCATTATAGGCCTAGAGTATTTTATACGCCCCACTCATCAAAAAGTAGACCAAATTTTACTTAATACATAATCACTCGAATTAAAATTAATAAATTAAAAATAATAATAATAATAACTTAAATTAATGATGACCAACTAAAAAAAATCTGACCTTTTTTTGGGCCAAATAAACGCATAGTTAAATAGACCAGAGATGTTAATGTCCATGAAAATCTCGGCCCAAAAATAAATATGTGTTAATTTGAATGAGAGTAAGTAATGCTATTGCTTTAAACGTAATTTCATTTTGGCCTACTTGTTTTCAAAAGAATAGATTAAAAAGTAGAAAGAGGATAAACCGGAAAAATTAGGAGAAAGAAAACCTGTACATAATCCCAAACTATATTACAGAAATAATGGTGTAATTATTATTATTTTTTTAATTTTTTTTTTTGTGCACATGATTACAAAAAATGAATTCTCGGAATATTATCTATTTGTTTCAAGAGCTCTGCCCACACTATCAAACTTTATTTGACAAAAAAAAATGTGACATGACAACATATGTGTGTCGAATGCTTGCGGTGCACCGCGTAGATAGTTTTGAAAAGAACTGTTGTTCGTTGAGAAGGTCTCGGAATTTCCATTGAGTTGCTTCAATCGTCTTCGGGAGAATATCTGCAGGGAATCGTAGATGGTGTATCGCAAGCATTAAACATATTATTATTACTTCGCCATGCAAATCTTTAAACGATATGACTATATATGGTCATCGTGATGACGTCATATCATGACCATAATATGTAGGTACATCATGACTATACAGTTTGAGGGTTTGGACATAGCTCTAGACTTACCAGTCAAACTACCACAGTTGATTCCTGAGTAATCTGGCGCACATAGGCAAGTATAGTACCCGTCGGAGAGCGACATGCATGAACCTCCGTTCATACACGGAGAACTGGTGCAACTATCAATGTTTATAACTGAATCTAAACGTTACATCATTTATATAAAAAAGAAAAATAAATCAAATGTAGTTTAGTTTATTATTAAAACCAACACATACAAGAAAAAAAGCAAATTAGTACACAATCATAAATCTGATAAATATACCTTACTGTATTAATCTATATTACCACGAATAGAGGATTTTTTGCCTCTACATAACATCTCCAAAAAGGAACTGTGAAAAAAAGCCTGGACATTTTTAGCGAGATGCACTATTAATAATTTCTATTAAATTATTTATCAAAAAAAAAATCACATATTTTTTAAATCCTGATAAATATTTAAAATAATACAGCATATAAAAATAATAAAGATTTGTAACTTTACTTTTGTCACAATCCTTTCCCGTGAACCCAAAAGTGCAGTTGCAGGAATATTGGCCGCTTCCACACACACCGTTATTGGTACATACTCCACCATTCATACAAGGATTCATATCACACGGGAAATCAACTCCTATATTGAAAGAATCAAATTTAAAATTATCTTTACTTGAAACAAATAGAAAGGAATAAATAAAAAAAAAATTATATATTTATTCAAATTTGTTTAACATATACAGAAACAAATATCAACAATACAGTGCCTAATCAATATTAAGTTGGTAGGAACCATCGGGTACTAAACACATATACAAACGGCCGGTCCCCTACATTGCACACACAAATAAAACTAATAATTCAATAATAGGCCTATATAATTAAAAAAAAAAACTATTGTTTTAGGATTGACTCCACCTCTGTTTTAGTTGGCTGGCACTTTTCACGGCGACAAGAAACAAACATACTGTACTTTTAATTATCAAATTACCAACGACGCTATTCAAAAACATACATTACGACTTTTAAATAAGGACATTAAAATTAAAACTGTACACATCGACAAAAAATATTAAAAATATAATAACTGCAGCCTGTTATTTAACATATTTAAAAACCAAGATAAGTCAGAGACAGCGAGAGAAATAATATTCCAATTATTATAATACTTTGTGTATCTGTAAAGTTTGGTTTCCATAAAGTCGTTACACTGTCGCTACAGCTACCTAGCTGTCTCGACGCAATCGGGAAGGCACCCCGATTCGTCTACTACAAAATCGGCAAAGTCGAGCCAGCTTCAACCTTCCCAACAACTGTTGGCGACTGTCATCGATATGGTGTAGCGATTGTATGGCAACCGAGCTTTAGTGTCAATATGTGAATTAGCTATGAGTTTGATACGAGTTTGATATGAGTATCGAACAAATTTATTTGTACTTACTGTGCTTTCATTTTCGAGTTGAATACACTTTTCAGTAGAGCAAAAGTACACACAAAAAAGACAATAAACCAAAAATAATACCTAACAAATATTTATATTAACAATTCAGTGGGAAATAATAGGTCTGTAGGAGATCCAATAGTATTGAAGATACAAATTATCTTTTCATTATATGGATTAAACCAGGCCTTGGCAGTAAACCGTCGAAAATAATTCCTATTGAAAAAAAATTAATTAAACACTTATTTCTAAACCCATGTGGATTTCTCTCTTAATCCCTTTCTAAAAATAGAAATAATTCTGTTAATTTTTGTGTTGCTAATATTTCTTCTGCTTCAGATTCCCAACAGGCCTATTAAGACTTGTTTTGTTTTAATCTACCTATTTTAGGACTTTTAGCAAGTTCAACGGCATTTCTCTAGCACGAACCTTCCTTTGAAGTCAAAACGTTGTTTAAAAATAGGGATATCTTTATTGAATTATTTCTAAAATTGCAGTCCAATGCCCTAGTGGTTGCCTTCTTTACAGAAACGGTTAAGTAAGAAACTATCGTATACCAGTATATTTATTTCGTTGAGAAACCATATCGCCACTGACTATTTTAGTTACAAGAAAAGTTGGGAGGAAAGCGCATGTATTTCGAATGACGTAAACATAAAATGATTTAGTTTATTGCAACCGTGTTACACCGAAATCTATAAAATCGTATTATAATTTACAGATGGTATATCGCATCAAACTTTTCTAACACGAAGTAGTTTGGTAATTGTGAGTAATGTTATGTGTTATGTAATGGACGATAACAATAATGGTGATGATGATGGTGGTGGTGGTGATGATGATGGTAATACCATGACGATTTTTATATATGTTGATAATTTTAATAATTTATTCATTTATATTCCGCAAATTCCATTAACTATGTTCATATGAGCAACAATAAATAAATACAATGATGATTGCGTACGTGTTTCGCAATAGTCACCCTGGTAACAATTCGGGCAGTCACAGATGTAATTCGTACAGCCGTTGGACACACATGTTCCTCCGTTCTCACAGACGTTAGCGAGGCAAGGATCAAACACTGAAACAAATATTGTGAAAACAATATGCATTGTCATAGTTGAAAATGAAATTCCCCACACTATTTATCATTTATTCTGTCAATCAATCGATCGATCAATTGGCGGATCAATTGACTAATCTAATCCATCAATCGATCTATCAAACATTCAATCGACCGACAATCAACCAGTCACCAATTG